GCGAGCGCGAGCATTCAGTGGTGTAGCGTAGCAGTAGCCATCCAGCCATCCGATGCGGTGTTGCCACTTCGAACGCCGCGGCCTGTAGTTAAAGGAGGCCGTGCTTCCATTGAGACCAATTATTATTAATATTTAATTTTTGACAACAGCTGGAGTTTCAAAACAATGTTTGTTTCTCGTGTTAATCTTATGGAGAAATACAAAACTTTAAAGGACCCAAGAGCCTCACTCTCTAATAATTTCCTTAAAAAGAAAGTTTCCTGCACAACTTCATGTTACGCTCTTTCCAATGACACCAAAAACATGTCAATCAGTTCAGTAGTTTCGGAGGAGTAATTGTCACAAAAATCCTGCTTGCGTATTAAACAAGTAACTAGTGTCCCTGTTGCTCGAAATCGAGCAATTGCTGAGTATTACAGGCTTTATTTTAAAACGAATTTCAACCAAGTCAGCAAGTTTGCAGCAAACTGTTAAATTAGCAAACTTATTGACTGTTTACAATTAACATATGCTCTTCTTCTCACTTTTGATTTCTGACAACAGCTGGAGTTTCATAACAATTTTCGTTTCCAATGTTAATCTTATGGAGAAATACAAAACTTTAAAGGGCTCCATGGCCTCACTCTCTCATTATTTCCCTAAACAGAAAGTTTCCTGCACAACTTCACGTTACGCTCTTTCCAATGACACCAAAAACACGACAATCGGTTCTGTAGTTTCGGAGGAGTAATTGTCACAAAAAATCTGCTTGCGTATTAATATATAGAATAGATAGAATAGATTTCTGCTACGGTGCCTAGAGGGAATTGTCCATAGACAAACCATATATTAACTGCAACTAATAAATGCATTTGTGTCAGCATACATTAAAGGAATAAATTTGTCGAAGGTAGGCCTACATAGAGTGTTTATACATTTTACATTAGAATAAATACACTGTTTCATCCTTGATCATTTTTCTGAAATCGGATTCTAATAATTACCAGTATCTATTGCATGAAAAATAATTAATTTACAGAAATTTACAGATTGCTCTATTGAGCTTTCATTTTATTTTTTTATACATCCCAAATAGCTAGTATTTTAAAATTTAATGTTTTATTATGTAATATGCAAATTATCTCATTAAAATTAAATTTTTTCCACAAAAAAAAAATTACAGAAATAAATGTCTAATAACGACAATAACATGTTTCTGAGGAAGCAAAAAAACTATGAGAAATATCTCATGCTCATAAAAGATACCCACAAAAATGTTTTTTTAGTTTTCAAAGTTGTTAAGTAAAATATTCACCACAATATTTTAAGCTATACCATATCAAGATTGTATCCTTTTAATTTTTCACTATGTATATTCATTCATGCTAAAAAAAACTCTCTTTTTACAGATATACTGAAACATGCTGCTGTTTGAATTACTTTTACCAAATAACCAATCACTTTTACACTAATATATTTGTATTACGGAAAGTAAATAAAGATACGTCTTATAACACTCAAAACATATATTTACGCTTCTCACAAGACGGTAAATATACAATAGATGGTAAGTGATGATCGATTTCGATTGGACACTCCAATCATCATCAGACCCAATAGGCGATTGACATTCGCCTATTGGGTCTGATGATGAGTGATTGGGTGATTGGAGTGTCCAATCGAAATCGATCACCACTTACCATCTTTTGTATATTTACCGTCTTAAGCGTAAATATATGTTTTAAGTGTTATAAGACGTATCTTTATTTACTTTCCGTAAATTTATTAACACGTACAATGCTGATCAAGAAGTTATTTATATTTTTATTGTAACACCTCCCTTGGAAGATGTCAATAACTAACCATTTAAACCATTTTAGACATCGCAAATTAAGTTTAATTAATTTTAGCGAATTTCCCTATAGGGAAGTAGCTATTACCGTAGGTGGCACGGTAGGACCTAGGCCTGGGACTAATTTACTTTTTCCATTTTGATGTCTCCAGAGGCCAAAAACACCATTCGTTCAAATTTTAATATATATGTATATATAAAATATACACGTCCATGAACGCGAAAACTTGAGTAATTTATGTCCGATTTTGATGAAACTTGAATGAGTTTGCGAACCAGCATGATCGAATCATGGAAACGGGGTTTTACTGGGTAAGAAATGGTTTTTCTCATTTTTGACCCTCAAAACACAAAATTTCCCAACTTCTCTCTAGACCTTTTTGAAGACCTACCTTAAAAAACAAATAATTTAGTATATCAAAGTGTTTTTGTACAGTTATGGTAACGGAGAAATTTCAAAAAATTGTAAATTTAAAATTCCCATGTTATTCTTGTCGAGAATATTGTAAAATGTTGTAGTTTGCTTGTTTATGGATATATTTTCATCAAACTTGGTAAATTTATTTATTTTATACTAAGCTATTAATATTTTACCAACGAATACACTTTTTTAGTTTCCTTGTAGCAGCAAACCTAGGTACTCATTAAACCTAATGTTGTTTAAATAGATTTAATTGAGATTAAGACAAATGGAAATTCGCTTGGTCGGCAGGTTTACTGAGGCGGGGGTAATATGTTTCCTTTGCATTTTTATTATATTTACAACATTATGTAATTGATCAATTTAAATATATTTTCAATTACTCACCAAGGCAACGGAGAGAAGGGCGAAGAAGGCAACAGCTACGGCAGTCCTCATGTTGAGATGTGTGTAGATTGATGCTGTGGAGATGTTGATGAGGTCTTATATACACCTACTGCACCTGTTCATCAGACCATGGTAATGTACAGTCGTTGCAATCAAGTAGAAGCGATTAATAGCAATCTCTTATAACCACGTTTAGCCCAGAGCATATTTTAAGGAATTTCCACTGGGTGACAGTGGTGCCGGACATACTGGGAAGGTCAGGGGGTGTGGATAACATTAGATAGCATTAGAAACATAACATACATTTGTAGAGTTTAAGAAAGCTTACGATTCCATTCATAGATTATCATTAGATTCTCAGACATTTCGGACTCCACCCAAAATTAATAAAACTTATAGAATTTACCTTGACAAATACCTTCAATAAAATTAAATTTAGAGGAGAAATATCAGAACCTTTCCTGGTCAAAACTGGTTTGAGACAGGGAGATGGCCTTTCACCACTTCTTTTTAACACTGTGCACTTGAATACATTATGAGGGAATGGCTTAAAACAAACCCAAAAAATATTACAGTTGGAACAAAAAAAGATGACATAAAGTTAAACTGTTTAGGATTTGCTGAGGATCTGGCTCTTCTAGCTAATAACATCCAAGAAACCAAGCAACAAATAAAATCACTTCAGGAAATAGCCCAGAGCATAGGTCTAAAAATTTCTTTTGAGAAAACTGAAAAAAATGTTAACAAAATCACCATTGGCTAACAAAATCAAAATTGGAGCGCATTGCATCAAAATTGTAGAAAATTTCAAATACTTAGGTGAAGTTATAACATACAATCTTAAAGAAAATCCATCATGGCAAAATAGAATTATTAAATTGATCAGAATGCAACATATTACTAAAAACCACGATTACTAGAAAAATACCGGTATGGATCATAAACATAAACAAATGACGTTTTTGGCCCAAAAATAAACATTATTTAGCATTGCTTAAATGGAACTGCCAAATCATATGTTCAATGCTATTAGTATAGGATTCGGGCCAACAACGTCATTTTGTTTATGTTTATGATCCATACCGGTATTTTTCTAGTAATCGTGCTAAAAACACATACAACAAAAAATGCCTATCAATAGCAACAAAATTACAAAATTATCAACAAAAAATACAAAACAACAAAATTATCTGTAGCAATAGATAAAATAATGAAAATAGAAAGAAGAATCATCAGAACATGTATAAACAAAAAATATCAAAAAGATGGAGTTTGGAGACTGGCCTCAAATAAAACTGTATATGAGGAAATAGAGCCATTGACAAGTATAATTAAAATGAAAAGAATTTCATTCATTAGACATCTTTTAAGGACATACCGGAAAATAGAATAAGCAAGAAAATAATTGACAAGTCGTGGAATAGCAAGAGTGACTTTAAGCCGAGTGGACTGTAGATAAATATATGCCGATGCTTGATATGAAATCTGTGCGTGCATACCTTCAATTTGAGACCTCAATCACGAAAATCGGTTGGGTAGAAGAGCCAAACGAACTCGGAAAAGATAAACCACATTTTTAAAATCATATACTAATTCACAAACCAACTCATCGCTAATGTAGGGGTTACTAAAAATATTACATAAGTTTTCCCCAAGTATTCCTAGAACAAGCCTTCAAACACAACTTCAAATGTTATTTTAGTTGGATCATAGATAAAACTCCCTTAGTAGATTTCCCATCCTTATGAAACAGCTGAAGCCAATTTTATTGTTAGTTCTGTCCGGTGTACTGTAGATGTCGTGTTTTATTTCACCTCCATTTCATTCAGCGGTTGCCAGAGGCCTCAGCCCTGGGAGGGGATCTGACTTGTAGCCTCAAAAGAATTTTTGTTCTCTTGAAAATTAATTTAACTGGTAATGTGTTGGGGATTTTGATAATTAATATCATATTGGTTGTAGTGTTTTATTGGTTAAATGTTTTGTCATTTTAATTTCAATTTTTGAGATTTTTCATATAAAAGTTGGAGGATGTTTGTACTATGGGTTGCTCATCTCGAGAATTTGCTTTGGATATAAATTATTCATTAACAACAACCATGTATAAGGTCTGTATGGACACCCATGTATAATTGTTACTACAGCTTCCTTCTTAGCACCGTACTTGTTGTGGGTCGGCTAATGTCCTGGTTAGCTTCCACAAGATAAGCCTCTTCAAACAGGGGTTTAAGTGTACTTGCTGATACGCACACATACCTCTTGAATAAAATTCTTACTATTCTGGCTTCAGCCTCTTATTGGGCCAATTGTTGCTGACTCTCGAACTAACCGCTAAGCGGTACACAAAGAATGCAAATTTCCACATAATAAAAAGAAAACTTGTTTATTGTTCCATTATTACATAATCAAACATTTACAAGCATCCACAGGGCTTGGGGGCAGCGACCTTAGCCTCGTAGCTGGTGGAAGCAGAGGAGGTGTTGTCAGAGGCAGACACAGACTTCTTGGTCTTGGTGGCCTGGACCTTGTTGCCGAAAGCATCAGCGTATTTGTAGCTGTCGCTCTTAGCTGAACCTTCCCTGGTGCTGGCAGAAGCGTCTTGCTCAGTGGTGGCCTTCACGTATTTGTTTCCATAAGCATCAGCCACAGCCAAACTCTCGGCACCTTCAGAAGCTGCAGACTTAGCTGACTTGTACTGAGACTGGTCAGACTTCTTCTCTTGGACTGCTCCAACCTGAGATAAAGTAATTGATATTGAAAGCTGTTGTTATAGAATAGAGTACATTGCTATCCATTATTTTTTTATTGCAATCCATCTATAGTATAAACTGGACTTGACAGTTGACAATAGGTCGGTAGGCCTATCTCCTACCATGACACAACTGAGTAGGGCCTACTGTAGTACCAGTGTATAAATGTAACAAGTGCAAACAGCAGCAAAACAAGTAGGCCTTTTGAATTCCAAAAGCATTATAGTATATTTACTGTTAACAGTTTTTGTAACCAGTAATTTATACTTGTATCACAAATTTTAACTTTTTTTTTTATTTTAGCTTGGCCTTACTAACCTGTTGTTTAAAGATATTTTGATTAGGATTTAGGATACCTAAAACCTGGCTTGTGCAGGACTTGGGAGTAATGAATTTGTTCATACACTAACCAGCTAGTATTACCACTATGATAAAACACAACTTACGCAAGCGGCAGAAGCAGGAGCCAACTGTAACAGACAAAAGGTACAATTTTTAAGTCATTACTCAATACATTTCATGTTAACACAGAGCAGTAAGGAATATCGGATACACTTGCCATGGTGTCTAGGACAGAGTCCCCGCACCACCCCCTTTGCCTACATATTCTACAACGCTCAAGCCTTTATGTGCCCTGTGCGATAGGAATTTCCGCACAGCGCTTGCCATTCACAAGGGCTCTTACTTCACAAGTATATTTCCACCACCGGCATACCAGAGCTGAAAGCGTCCTGTTGTTCTGTAAGTGTATTTCATCTGTACCTTACTTAAATCTGTGACGTAAATAAATCATTGAATGAAATACATATAGCTAAAACAATAAATTACTGGTACAGGTAGCCTACTTAAATATGTAAATAAAAGTTATATAGATCTTAAAATAATTCTTAGATCCTAAAAAATGTTTGAAAGATATACATTAGGGTACCTATAGCTGCAGACACTGGGATGTGATAGTGTTCGCAAATCTCTAAAAGTTCCAAGAGAGTAAGAGATTTTTTTGTTATTTAAGGATTACTGTATAAAGTTTTAAATGTTTAATGTTTCCTAATATACAGGTGTCCCGGAACTCTCTACCAATATTTTAGGGCATTTTTCCTGGGTAAGAAACATACCTAAATATAATATTTAAATTGTCCGGAAGTCCTTAGTTACTCACACAGCCGCCATTTTTTTTTTTTGTTATTAATTTTTTTCTAAAGAATGGTTAAACATACGAAATGGAAACTTCACACAAACATTTATGACAACTAGACAAAGCTACAAAAAAATTATGACGATTTTCAAATTCTTAAAACAAAATGGCGGCCATTTAAAGTTTTGTGTCTTAAATAACTCAAAAACCGTTGATTTTACAAGCTTGGTTAAAATATTCATTTTTATATTACTTGAAATTCACTCTAACCTATTAATCTTTTCAAGTTTAAGGTGTCAATTTACTTACATATCCCAGGAGGTTTATTTATCGAAAATGCATAGGTAAATCTCAAGACTTTTTAAAATTGTGTAAAGTCAGTTCAAGTATATCAATAAATAAATTTTTTTAATTTTAGTACGTACCAGAGCGATGGCGAGAAGAGCGAAGGAAGCTACAAGTACGGAGGTCCTCATGTTGAGATGCTGGAACAGATAACTGATGCCTGGTGTATGTTGGTGAGGGTCTTATATACTCATCCAGACACACACAAACAAATGCCACTTGCGCTCATCTTGCGTTAATAGTCTTTCTCAGTCATCAACAGCAGTTTTGGTTCTCAACCTTTTCCCGCTTTATTCATCGTGATATTATTTTGTAAAAAGATATTTAAAACTGAACCTATAGTATGCTAGCACCCCTTCTTAAAAAAGCACCTTCTTATTTAAGTTGTGAAATTTCGAATAGTTTTCAAATAAAACAGCTGGAATGATACCATATCGGTGAGTGCCAAAATCTATATGGCGTCAAACAAATGTCTTGCGAATCCGCCTCACGGGCCCTCAAAGTTTCAATGTAATCCTTATGGAAGCAGTATTTGACACAAAACAATGGCATAAGATCAGCCGGTGACTTTTGAATGAAGTAGATCAAGAAATAGCTGATCACATTTTTTTACGGATATTAGAACAGAAACTGTATAGATCATAAATAATATAATCTAATGACGAAATTAGCCTGAATTGTATACTAATGGCCTTAAAATCTTGTTTGGACGTTTATTGACAGTTCCATTTTGAGTAATAAAACAAACATGAGTCCATCCAACTAAATTAACAGTTGAAGTTGTGTTTGGAGGCTTAGTTCTAGGCTTACTTGGGGAAACCTTATGTTAACTCCTTATGTTATATTAGCGATGAATTGTTTGTGTGAATTACAATTTGTAGTATATGATTTAAAAAATTTGGGTTTTCTTTTCCGAGTTTGTTAGTTCTTCTATCTGACCGATTTTCATGATTGAGGTCTTAAATTGAAAGTATGCACGCACGGATTTCACATCAAGCATCGTCATATTTATCTACTGTATTACTTGACCAAAAAACACATAAATTTGATTTATTTTTTATTTCTTACTTCAATTTAAGATGTATTTCGCCATTTATAATTATATAATTTGGTCTAAGAACCTTCAGTGAAATACCGGCTTTTATTTAACGCAAGGTGAACAATCAACATGAAAATTATATTTTATAAGGGTTTTCTATGATTAAAAATCAATAGCTTCAGTATTGTTTATGTTTTTTGTATGTATTAGATTAGCCTGTATTAGATTTAAGCCGTCGTGTTTTGGCTGAAATCGCTGTGCTTCCTAGTTGTCCTTGTTGGTCTTGACAAGATGGAACTATTTGGTATGTAGCGGCATTTCAAACACATCCACAATTATTCAAGGAAACCAGCATATGGAAAATATGTAAATTTTGTTAACGTGTATGGTTTTCATTCAAACTAAATCATCGCTTTTTTTATAAAAGCTAATATTAAAAATTCTGTTTTTCTCAAGTAAGCCAATCACATAAAAAATCAACTAAGACACTATTATTTACAAAGCCATGTAAATACATAAACTTTGTTCGCATTAAAACATGTGATTCTGTTCTTAAAATATCCCACAAGATTCATATACTAACTAGAGGACCCATGCTGCTTTGCAGTGTTAAAATAAATGTCATACCCGAGAAATAATTAAATTTAGGATTTTTGATTGAATAATACATTATCTTAAACATAACTAAATCAAACGATCAATAGCTCAAATTAGCCTATAATTTACTGATCATTTTGAGGCTAATCTAATACATATAAAAAACATAAACAATACTGAAGCTATTGATTTTTAATCATAGAAAACCCTTATAAAATATAATTTTCATGTTGATTGTTCACCTTGCGTTAAATAAAAGCCGGTATTTCACTGAAGGTTCTTAGACCAAATTATATAATTATAAATGGCGAAATACATCTTAAATTGAAGTAAGAAATAAAAAATAAATCAAATTTATGTGTTTTTTGGTCAAGTAATACAGTAGATAAATATGACGATACTTGATGTGACATTTTTGCGTGCATACATTCAATTTGAGAACTCAATCATGAAAATTGATCATATATCAGAGAAGATCGATCAGTAGCAGAGAACAAACTCGGAAAAGAAAAACCAAATTCAACTCCCATAAGAAATATATGGGGAGCGAATTTCGTTTTGTATTAGCCGAGTGGGACTGTAGATATATATATGCCGATGCTTGATGTGAAATCCGTGCGTGCATACTTTCAATTTAAGACCTCAATCATGAAAATCGGTCAGATAGAAGAGCTAACAAACTCGGAAAAGAAAACCCAAATTTTTTAAATCATATACTACAATTGTAATTCACACAAACAATTCATCGCTAATATAACATAAGGAGTTAACATAAGGTTTCCCCAAGTAAGCCTAGAACTAAGCCTCCAAACACAACTTCAACTGTTAATTTAGTTGGATGGACTCATGTTTGTTTTATTACTCAAAATGGAACTGTCAATAAACGTCCAAACAAGATTTTAAGGCTATTAGTATACAATTCAGGCTAATTTCGTCATTTGATTATATTATTTATGATCTATACAGTTTCTGTTCTAATATCCGTAAAAAAATGTGATCAGCTATTTCTTGATCTACTTCATTCAAAAGTCACCGGCTGATCTTATGCCATTGTTTTGTGTCAAATACTGCTTCCATAAGGATTACATTGAAACTTTGAGGGCCCGTGAGGCGGATTCGCAAGAGATTTGTTTGACGCCATATAGATGTTGGCACTCACCGATATGGTATTTGTCACCATGCAAAATTTGAAAACAATTGCTTCAGCCGTCTAGGAGTAGTTTGCGTATAATGAAATGCATAAGAGTCGACGTATAAGAGCTTCGCTCAATAATATGTGAATGAATGTCCTAGAGCATGCAGCTAGTATAATTAAAGGGAAATCTATTTAAATTTGGTAAAATTCAATTAGTGTTGCCAAAGATGAGTTGTACCTGAACTGTTTGATTGTTCACAGCTATTAGTCACTGGAAACATTAGCCTGATGATGGTAGATGATCAGATGATGAACAGATGGTGTTGTGTGTGTGTGGTTGAGTATATAAGACCCTCACCAACATACATCAGGCATCAGTTATCTGTTCCAGCATCTCAACATGAGGACCTCCGTACTTGTAGCTTCCTTCGCCCTTCTCGCCATCGCTCTGGTACGTAAAAAGAATATATTTTATGAACAATAAAACATAAGCAAAATTAAATAAACAATGTCAGCAAATTGACACATAATAATTTATAAATAAAAAACTTTTTTAAACAAAACGTTTTTAAACGCCCTAAAAAGTAGAAAATAATTTACAAATAATTTATAAATATGTTGAGAGAGTATAAATACTTGTACGATTTAAAACGAAAAACGTGGGGTACATGCAATAGATAATTTACAATTACCTTCACCTACTGAACTAATGTATTATTATCAATTAATTGCATGCACCTAACGTTTTTCGTTTTAAATCGTACAAGTATTTATACTCTCTCAACATATTTATAAATTATTTGTAAATTATTTTCTACTTTTTAGGGCGTTTAAAAACGTTTTGTTTAAAAAAGTTTTTTATTTATAAATTATTTTCTATTTTTTAGTTTTTTAATGCGTGAGGATGTTAAATCTATTTCAAGCATCTATATCAGATTAAGACAAAGGCATGTGGGAAATCTAAGGTTTATTTGAGTTTCTTTTCATATAATTATGTATTAGATTGAATGTATGGCCTACCTACTAACTAAAAATATATCAATCTATTTAATTTATTGTTTACTTTATAGAACATTAGATAAATAACAATTTTACATTATTAACAAACATCTTTATATCTGCAATCAGATTGTTTATCTATATTTTGAAATGTTTGTATAAAGAATCTCTTGGGAGCATAACCTGTACCTCTTAACCTCTGCTCTTTGAACTGTCAAATTTAAGTGTTTACAGCTGACTTAAATTAATTGATATATTTATTTACATTCTTTCAAAATGTAAACATGAAAAATTTGGAAGCCCATGGGGCGTAGCCCAAGGGAAATATGAAAATTAAATGATATAATATTGCATTGTCATGCATTTGTGAGCTATGTTTCAAATTTCAAGTCTCTAGCTTATCGGGAACATCGTCTAAAATTGATATCAAAATTTGTAGGAAAGCGAGCTAATAAAAACAAGCCCATGGGGCGTAGCCCGAAAGGAAATATGAAAATTAAATGATATAATATTGCAATGTCATCCATTTGTGAGCTATGTTTCAAATTTCAAGTCTCTAGCTCATCGGGAAGTATCAAAATTTGCAAGAAATCGATTTAATAAAAACAAGCCCATGGGGCGTAGCCCAAGGGAAATATGAAAATTAAATTGTATAATATTGCATTGTCTTCCATTTGTGAGATATGTTTCAAGTTTCAAGTCCCTAGCTCATCGGGAAGTTAGTCTAAAATCGGTTGCAAAATTTGTAGCGGACAAGAAAGTGACCTAATAAAAACGTTTTAAAATATCCCACTACTTGTACACTTTTATGAATTTGAATAAGGAAAACTACATAAATTGCAGTAACTTTTGAACTGCTATTTTTACGAGAGTTGGAGGTTGTGCCATTTTGTTAAAGGTTACAAAGGCTCTACATACTAAATTGTAGCCAAAATAGTCAGAGCTAATATTGTTTGATTATCTTTGTATCTTTTCACAATAACAGATATTATACGTAAGAGGACACTCCTAGAATGTTTGAATACACCCTAATAACTATAGTAATTATAGTTAACTTTATCTGATATTATATTTTAGAATATGACGATTCTTTAAAATGACCTTAGACTGTTTCTTGAGATATTTAAGATGCTCATGATTGTTTTAGTTATATTTGATTGTTTCACTTTTGAAGTGTATTAACTTACATATTCTGTTCATTTTTTCTGTTACAGTTGGCCCCTGCTTCAGCCGCTTGTGTAAGTTGTGTTTTATTGAGCTGGTTTGTGTACGAATAACTTAATTTTTACAAGTATCATGTATCCTGATCACAATATTTTTACAAGTTTTGAAATATTTATGATTGGATGATCCTTAAATAACACAAGACTTGAAATTGTAGCAAATTATGAAAGTTTAAAAAGTCAACTAAA